GGGCTTATTTTAGTATTTTTTAAAAGTGGTTCAAAACCAGAAAATCTATCATTGTAGCAAATCATTTTATACTTAAATGAAAACCCCACGTGATCAATGGATTTAGAACAAACATTTGATAAAATACAGAAAACATCCTCCCTCTTTAAAAACATCTCTTAATTGGCTGGGCATGGTGGCTCACACCTGTAATCCTAGCACTCTGGGAGGCTGAGGTGGGTGAGCCCATGAGTTCCAGCCTAAGCAACAGCAAGACCTCTGTCTCTAAAAATAGCTGAGCATTGTGGCAGGCGCCCGTAGTCCCAGCTACTCGGGAGCCTGAGGCAGGAGGATCAGTTGAGCCCAGGAGTTTGAGGTTGCTATGAGCTATGATGCCAAGGCACTCTACCCAGGGTGAAAAAATGAGATTCTGTCTCAAAAAAAAAAAAAATTCTTAAGTTAATGTAAAAGCTATTTAACTCTAATAAACTATTTAATAAATATCAACAGCAAACATAGAAAATATTTAAATTTATATCAGTTTTAGGCAGAGCAACCCACCAGCACATATTTATTTAACTCTGAGTTTCTAGCACATGCAGCAAAAAAATGAAATAACTGGTGTAACCATCAGAAAGAGGAGAAAAAAACGAAAATAAAATTTTCAGGACTAATAAGAATTCGGTAAGATAGTCAGGTATAAGATAAATATTTTAAAAATCAATAACCTTTTATTATTCTAGCAAGAAGCATTTAGGAATAGAAAGAGGGAAAAAATATCCCACGCATAACAGAATAAAAGCTGCAAATTCTTTTTTGTTGTTGTTGCAGTTTGGCTGGGGCCAGGTTGGAACCCGCCACTCAAGATATGGAGCCAGCGCCCTACTCACTGACCCACAGGCACTGCCCTCTTTTTTTTTGTTTTTGAGACAGAATCTCACTTTCTTGCCCCCAGTAGAGTGCCATGGTATCATAGATCACAGCACCCTCAAACTCTTGGTCTCAAGAAATTCTCTTGCTTTAGTATGCTGAGAAGCTGGGACTACTTGTGCCAACTACAACGCATGGCTAATTTTAGAGACAGGGTCTTGGTCTTGCTCAGGCTGGTCTCAAACTCCTGAGCTCAAGTGGTCCACCTACCTCAGCCTCTCAGAGTGCTGGGATTACAGGCATGAGCCACTGCACGCAGCCTCAAGCTGTAAATTCTTGATGAATACACATAAATATATCAAGAAAAGTACAGGGTGGATAGGAAGAAAAAGATAAACGTAATTAAAAGACATGAAACAAAATATGAACATGTAGAAAGAAATACCTCTTCTTAGGTAAAAGGAACTATATAATTTAAAACTGAAATATAAACTTAATGCAATTCTAATTACAAGTCCAATAAGGTTTGGGAGACAAGGGCAAGTAAAAGCAATCTTAAAATTTCTGAGTAGGTGGCTCGGTGCCTGTAGCATAGTGGTTACAGCGCCAGCCACATATACCAAAGGTGTCTGGTTCAAACCCACCCTGGGCCAGCTAAACAACTGCAACAAAAAAATAGCCAGGCATTGTGGCAGGCACCTATAGTCTCAGCTTCTTGAGAGGCTGAGGCAAGAGAATTGCTTAAGCCCAAGAGTTGGAGGTTGCTGTGAGCTATGACGCCACAGCACTCTACCAAGGGCAACATAGTGAGATTCTTTCTCAAAAAAAAAAAAAATTCTGAGTAGGAAAAAGTGTCAAAGAATAGTCAAGAAAAATATTTTTTAAAGGTAATATAATCTTGGGCGGTGCCTGTGGCTCAAAGGGGTAGGGCGCTGGCCCCATATACTGGAGGGGCGGGTTCAAACCCAGCCCCAGCCGGAAAAAAAAGCTAAAGGTAGTATAATCAGTATGATTTGGGCACATGAATAGACAAATAGATGAAACAAAATAAACAGTCTATAAGAAGATCCTAGTATGTAAAACATTTACTAGTCAAAAAAAACTGTAGTTCAGATCACAGGGAAAAGTAGGGATTATTATTATTCTAGTACAACTGGTTACCCATCTCTAAGAAATCAATGTTTTTGGCCGGGTGCAGTAGCTCACCCCTATAATCCTAGCATACTGTGAGGCCAAGGTGGGTGGACTGTTTCAGCTCAAGGGTTCAAGATCAGCCTGAGCAAGTGCCTTTAATAGAGACCACCCTATCTCTACTAAAAATAAAAAACTTAGCTGGGTGTTATGGTAGGTACCTGTAGTCCCAGGTACCTCGGAAGCTGAGGCAAGAGGATTGCTTGAGCCCAAGAGCTTGAGGTTGCTGTGGGCTATAATGTCAAGATGCTTTACCCAGGGTGACTGACACAGTGAAACTCTGTCTCAACAACAACAACAGAAAAAAGACAGAGTCTATTTCCCCAGGCTAGAGTGCTATAGTGTTAGCCTAGCTCACAGCGACCTCAAACTCCTGGGCTTAAGCGATCCTCTTGGCCTCCACCTCCTGAGTAGCAGGGACAACCTGTACCCACTATAACACCCAACTAATTTTTCTATTCTTTTTAGTAGAGATGGGATCTAGCTCTTGCTCAGGCTAGTCTCAAACTCTTGAGCTCAAGTGATTGTCCTGCCTCACCATCCCAGAGTACTAGAATTATAGATGTGTGAACCACTACACCCAGCCTCTAAAAAACCAATCTTTCTTTTTTCCAGATGCAGTCTCACTTTGTCACCCTGGGTAGAGTACTCTGGCGTCATAGCTCACAGCAGCCTCAAACTCTTGGGGTCAAGTGATCCTTTTGCCTTAGCTTCCAGAGTATCTGGGACTATACGCCCTGCTATTTTGTTAAGAGAAGGGGTCTCGTTCTTGCTCAAGCGTATCAAACTCCTGAGCTCAGGGAATCCACCCACCTTGGCCTCCCAGAGTGCTGAGATTATAGGCATGAGGTACCACGCCCGGCTAAGAAACCAATCTTAACTGAGACTTGAAATCCGGAAGATGTAGAAGAAAAGAGTCATATCTGGATATAAAAAAATGTTTAAAAGTATGTGAAAATACATACTATCAAGAAAGTCAATACTATAGATTTGGGAAAGACAGTGTAACAGATGATAGACAAAGGGCTGATATCTAAGATATATAAAGATGTATTTCAAATTAAGACAAATATAAATAGCTCACAGGAAAATGGGCAGATGACATGAGTAGACAATAATAGCCTGTATTATAAATCAACAAGGCAACATCTCTTAACATAAATATATTTTATATAAATATTCATATTATCTATATACCTATATCTCTATCTATCTATCTATCTATCCACCCATCTAAATTGAAAACAACAGTATACAAGTGATGTTTAGTTCAGCACTCATTACAGTGGCAGAAATCTGAAAAGAAAATGTTTATTAATAGAGGCACGGCTAAACAAACTGTTGTGAACCCATGAAATATTTTGCAGCCTAGTAAAAGAATAAGAGCTATGCCAGTCGACTTTGATAGATTTATAAGATAGTGCTGAGTGAAAAACCAAGAAGTATATATAAGATCCTATTTTTGTAAAGCAATGAACAACAAAGCATTCCAAAATCCCCATGTGTGCATGCCTAAGAGAGAGAGAAGGAGGGAGGGAGGGAAGGAGAGAGAGAGAGAATATCTATGTGCATGGAGAAAATACGTATAGATACATACTGGTTTGATAAGATGCAAGATGCAAGAATGGTATGGAAAGGTGGAGAGGGCTAGGAATGAAATTAAAAAAGGAAAAAATTTTAAGAAGTATAAAATGCCCATTAATCATACTTATACATGTATATAAATGTATAAGCAATAAATTAAATTAAATTTGGAAAAGATACAATGAACACCTCAATATATAATACGATCTACTTATTAAAAAAAGAAAAGCAATAACCAACGTTATTTCTTGGTGGCAGCATTAAGGGTGATGTTTATTTGCTTCTTTATGTTTCTCTGTATTTTCTGTAATGAGAATTGTAGATTTTATTTCATTTAAAAATGAAATAAAACCAATAAATGTTCCTATAAAAACATTACAATGAATAATTGAGCTCATTTTGGAAAATCAAAGGCGGAAAACAGGGTTAAATACCCCTTTTCCTTAGCAGCTGTCCAACTAAGAAACATATGAAATCAAGATCCATTACCCATCATCTAGCAGAAAGTTACTCACCTAAGGCAGGAGACTAAAGTGGCTATTTCAAGGAGCTATTTGAAACAGCAAATGGGGTCCTCTCCCCCTACCTAACACTTTAATGACTTAAGTAAATCAGAAAGCCATTTATACCATTCTCAATTATCCAAGAATCTGCTAGGCTCTTTACTTCTTGTTCCCTCCCTCTGGCTTGTGGCCATTTCACCGCTAAGGGACAGCTCCAAAATAGGGGGTCGAGGAAGAGGAAAAGAGATGAAATTAATGCAGTCGATTTAGCTTCTCATTAGCAACTCTAATAGGAAGTCTGATAAGTGAGATGGTCACAACTCACCATTAAAACGAGGGTTCCGGGACTCTTCGTAATTTCATTAAAGTAAACTTGCCTTTAAAGAAACAGGATTTGCCTGTAATATACTTTAATGGATGCCTGCTATTTTTATGAAAGTTGGGATTGGAATAAGGTGATATTTTTCTCTCTTCACTTCAATGTGCACTTTAAGAAAAAAAAAATACCCATAAAAACACAGAAACAATGCCCTTCAATGTGAAGAACCCTAGCCTCAGTGGAGGAGCAGGATCACGAAGCCAAAATTCTTGAGAGAAGAGATGACTGGTGCCAGCATGCTCTCTCTCAAGAGAAACTTTAGCAGGGCGGCAACCTTGCAAAGGAATATGCCTTGTAGACAACCCCTACACCAGAAGGATTTGCTAAAAAGGATTTGTCGGGGCTTGACAAAATCACATCTCCACACACACTATTTCCCCTTTGCAGTGGGGCCCTCAGACTTCTGCCATCCGTTGGGGAAGTTTGGAGGCTTCCAACAGACGAAAACAGACTGAATAGCAAGGGCAATACAGCCAAAAACAATTTTCTCTTACTTGAAGATGACGATCGCTCCACGGCATGGAGGGCAGGCCAAGAGAAAGATCTGCAATTCAAGAATTAAGAATAGTTAGCAAGTGAAATGCTGGAGGAAATGAGACAATGTTACCTTAGCAATAACAAACAAAAACTAGCCAAAATTCTAACACAAAAAGAGTAACACAAAAGTTTTTTGAAGGCAAGCAGGTGGTTTTCCAAAGCACGTGTTTGTGTTTGTACATGCATGAATGTGTGCGCGTGTGTGTGTTCATGTGTGTGTGAGAGAAAGAGTCAAAGAGAGAGAGTGACAAGGCTTGAATTTTGAATGCTTCAATTTCAATATTACCCAAGTAGTGAGTCTCAGAAGCTTTTAACCTGAGGCAGGTAAAAATAGATTCTGAGCATGGAACACACACACACATACACACATGCCATCTGGTTTGCCTTCCATGAGGGAGGATGGGTTTATCAATACTCAGCACTGCCAAATTTAGGAAACAAAAGTATAGGATGCCCTGTTAAATGTGAATTCGAGGTAAACAATGAATAATTTTTTACTATAAGTATGCCCTAAATATTGCATGGAACAATACTTACAGAAAACATACCCATTATTTATCGAGAATCTGAATTTAACTGGGCATCCTGTATTTTATCTGGCAACCCTATTGACCTGCCACCTACATGTTCTAAACCTCCCTTTCATTCAATTCTTTGTTTCAAGACATATCCAGGTATTTTTACCCTTCTAGTCTCCTTCCAGGTCAAACCAAAAAAAGAACCTTGTCCTTCTAAGAAACACATCAGTTCTCTGATATTTGGTATGACTTAGGTCTGGGTTACAGCCCTTGAAACATTGTAGCTGTGGCAGTTTGACCTTCACCCATACAGTGGTTCTCAAACATCAAGAGAGACCAAAAAAATAAATAACTAGTCTCCCAGAAGAGCTTCTTAAACATTCATTCTTGGATTCTCCATTAAGAATTCTGACCAATTGAGTACATGTCAAATCTACGAATTAAGAAAGTACAGTGAAGGCTATGTTAACTGGTTTGGTGTAAGTATTTCAAATTGTATATAAAACCAGCATATTGAAAAAAAAAAAAAAAAGAATTCTGATTCCAGGCTCGGCACCCGTAGCTCAGTGATTAGGGCGCCAGCCACATGCACCGAGGCTGGTAGGTTCGAACCCAGCCCAGGCCAGCTAAACAACAATAACAACTGCAGCCAAAAAATAGCCGGGTCTTCTGGCAGGTGCCTGTAGTCCCAGCTACTTCGGAGGCTGAGGCAAGAGAATCGCTTAAGCCCAAGAGTTCGAGGTTGCTGTGAGCTATGGCACTCTACTGAGGGCAACATAGTGAGACTCTGTCTCAAAAAAAAAGAATTCTTATTCCACAAGTATGGGACCCCAGGAATCTGCATGTTTAACAAATGCCTCAGGAGATTCAACTAATAGCTTGATATGCTGAATTCTCTATCTTGGACTGAACTACTACAGAATGCAAGACTAAAGATTGACAAAAGAATGAAAATCATGTTTCTAGAGTCCTTTCACCTACTGTGACTTAATGGTATGGTTTAGAAATCATTGGCGTGTGCCTCTATCTTGTTGAGAGCTCTTATTAATATGTCTTTTCTGCATTGTGAGCTTGTTGGCTTTGCCGTGTATATGTTCTTTAGCATTTGGATATTCTCCAGTTCTCTCAGAGTCCACATTTGGAAGAAAAGAGTATCATAAGAAAAATCACCATAAGGAAAGATACCTGCTCGAATCCCTGCCAAGAGGAAGAGAAAGCATGGAAAGAGAAGGGTCTTTAAAAGAACATGGTCAGTCTTTAAAACAACATGGTCAGGAGTCCATCACCTTCATGATACCTCACCAAATAGCCTCTCCGAGGAAACAGGCATGGGTACCACGCCTTTTCTCCTGTGACCAAGTTGATTAACAGTACAAAGCCAAAGATAATTACAGGTCCACAATCCTTTATCGGCAACCCTTGATTCCAAAAAGCTCTATGAACTGAAAGTCTGTCTTTTTTCAAAGCTACTGAGACAGCAAAATTTGATATGAACTGAGGTAAGGCTATTTATAGACTTCATTGAGTCCACTTAAGGTGAATGCTCATGTTTTCCATAAAAGTCATAATGTACTTGATTGTGGGGTACTGTTCCAAACCCCACTGGGAATAAATGTAAAATACGCTACATGCGCTGTATTGTCTTTTTAAAATCAAAAACATTCTGGTTTCTGAAACATATATGGCCCTGATGATTTTGGATAAGGATTGTAGACTTGGAATTTCAATTATCCAAACATCAATTTATCCCCACTCCCCACCCTACCCCTCAGCGGCAGGCCAAGAAAAAAAAATAAACAAAGCTGGTATTCTTTATCCCTGATCCAGCAGTATAGTTACTCACCTTAGGCCAGGGACCAAGTTGGAGGCTGCATATAGTTACCCAGCATCAGGCCCATCAAAGACTATACTCAGAAGCTACAGTACACAGAGAGGAGACAGGGGCCCCAGCCACCTTGGAAAAGTCCTCAGCACTTCTGGAGTCACCAAAGTGTCCTGCCAGCAGCCTTCCTGAGCTTCCAGAATACCTAAGACACTTCCAACATGCTAAACAGGGAAGTAAAAATGTGACCCTGGGTGCCACGGTTGACTCTTACTTTTTGCTAAATCCACAGCCAAGAGAAGATGAGCAGATTCTTAGGGGCAAATTTCCTTTATAACTACATTTGACTGTAGTTATCCACCATTTCCTTATGCCAGAAGCCCAGGAACCTACTAAAGGAAATAAGCCTCCAGTCCCAACCCAACTGTTTGTCCTGTTATCCTCCAGCTGTCATGGCTCTAACTCCTTTTGAGACAGCTAATCTAGTCTTGACTCTTCATGAGTTTTCCAACAGTTACTTTCATGTGGCCAAGTCATTCTAATCAGCGCTTAGGCCCTTCTCATCTTGTCTGTCTATTCCCATCACCCGGATAGAGGATGTCTTTTTCAAGCAATCTTTAAATCAGATACATGTACACATATCAGATCAGCAGATTTGAAAAAGGACCCCAAACTCATCACATTCCATTTCTAGTAAACTCATGGCCTCCTTTAGCAACTTCAAAGATTTATGACACTGAATCTTCTCTTTATCGTGCTGGAATCACATCCATAATCACCATGAGCCAACAGAGCCATGTGAAAACAACATTTTAATTCTGAGGCCCAAGAGGCCCCAGCCTTGACCTGAACCCATCCCTGCTTTTGTCATGGGTTGGCTTCTAGCCATTTCCAAATTTTGGTAGCATGTGTTTCAGACTAGCAGACAGAAAGCTAAACCATCCTGTTGGCTGCAAATAGTGGGAAGAGAGGACACTGTGGAGTGCAAACAAGGACAGTGGGAAGATAAGGATGTATCTGAGCATATCCCAGCACCACTTTGCATTCATGCTGAAATCTGCCCAGCTCAGCACCTGATGCGAAGAGCATGAACAGGAAGCATACAGAGAGGGCGCTACAGAGCACTTCCACTTTCCCATCACCTGCGAGGCAGGCAGGGCCATGTTATTAAACCCATTTTTTATTTTTTTGGGAGACAGAGTCGCACTTAGTCACCCTCAGTAGAGCTCTGTGGCATCACAACTCACAGCAACCTTAAACTCTTGGGCTTAAGCAATTCTCTTGCCTCAGCCTTCCAAGTAGCTCAGACTATAGGCACCCTCAGTAGAGCTCTCTGGCATCACAACTCACAGCAACCTTAAACTCTTGGGCTTAAGCAATTCTCTTGCCTCAGCCTTCCAAGTAGCTCAGACTATAGGCACCTGCCATAATGCCTAGCTATTTTTAGAAACAGCATCTCGCTCTGGCTAAGGCTGGTCTCAAACTCATGAGCTCAGGCAATCCACCCGCCTTGGCCTCTCAGAGTGCTAGGATCACAGGTGTGAGCCACCGCATTCAGCCCAAACCCCATTTTTGAGATGAAGAAACTATGGAGAAATGGTTCTGACAAGCACCCCAAACTCCCCAAATTGGCAGTCCCAGAACTGCCAATTCAGTGCACTTTCCACCGCACACTTGACACAAATCAGGCCTTGTGGGGACTTTTTTTCCTTAGATTCTAGCCCTGCCCCTTGACCACCTGGCACACAGGGAGTCACCCCAATGGCCCCATACCTATGCCACCAGTCAGCTCATGAGATCTACTCTCTACAATGAAGTAGCTCAAAACACAAATCTAACAGGGCAGCAAATTGTGTTTACACAGATGAGTTTCAGAGTGACTCCAGTATTCCCCAAAGACGGGTTTGTTTTAGGTCTAAATTGCCTTATCTTTAGGTCTGGTGGGCACTTGCAATCTTTGAATCCCTATAAAATTAAGGTCTTTTTTATTGAGACAGAGTCTCAGTTTGTCACCCTCAGTAGAGTACTGAGGCAGCATAGCTTACAGTAACCTCCATCTCTTGGACTCAAGAGATTCTCTTGCCTCACCCTCCCTAGTAGCTATGACTACAGGTGCCTGCCACAATGCCCAGCTATTTTTAGAGACAGGGTCTTGCTCTGGCTCAGGCTAGTCTAGAACTCCTGAGCTCAGGCAATCTACCCGCCTCAGCCTCCCAGAGTGCTAGGATTACAGGCATGAGCCACCATGCATGGCCTTAAAATTGAGGTCTTTTTGACTGTTATTTTTTTTCTAGGAAAATTCACAGCTTATACTCGAAATCACACTCTCAACTTCCCCAGGAAAAATCTTTATACCACTACAAGGTTCTCCTATCCCAAAACTTGTAAATCTGGCTCTTTCCTCGGCCCCCAACGTAGGCACCAGCGGTCGTTCCAGTCAATGTTCTACCTCTGAACTGCTCTGGCTCCAGGTTCCCACCTTTCCTATCCAACCTCTCAGCCATCACTTGTTCTACTTCCCATTCCCATCCTGACAATTACATCAGTCCCGCATTCACTGCCATAATTGCTCAGCCTCCCATTCACTTTTGCACCACCTCCACCTTAAATTCAACAACCTACAGTTTCACAGCACCTAAGGAAAACAGCTTCTGTTCACAGGAGGAA